AAAAATATGAAGTTATCAAAATCATCTGTTGCAAATGTTGTGGTTAATGTTACGAAACACTATATATATTGTCGATGTTAAACATGTTATCATTTAACTACATATTGTATTTCTACTGTGATTCTACCAATAGCCACAATACAAATAGTACATTACATGATTTCCCCTCATTCTTTATTTTCCCAGTACCTAGGGTCTTTAGCTGCTCACAACCAGTTCATTTAACTGATCTTGGTTCTCTTCCTTCTTCGGTCAACTAGTAGATGAAGAATAGATAAAAAAAAAGACTGAAGGGTATAGCTCTGATAAACTGTCCTAACCTGAAGTAAGTATATTTCAAAGGCAGGTTGATGGACATATAAAGAGCATCTTATAACAGATTAGAGAAAAATTGTGTTCACCAAATGCAAGTTTTGCATCTGACAAAAAACCTCAAAACGTTATGAACTTCACTCAGATCTAATGATGGGGAAAGGTTTTATTTAATAGCTAATTTGTCAGCATTCTAAATTTTGAAATCATACAACACACATCAAGGTTATGCCACCCTTCTTCCCCTCAAGAGATACTGTTAAGTCATATCTGGCCCTACATATACTGTAGATTTTACAAAACTTAGCTTTTACAAATCCCAACATCAACAGAAATGTTTGTTTATATATTCATCAGTTACAATATTTTCAGTTGAAATATTGCAGCATTGTTCAAGCATACAAGACCGAGAATGAAACTGACTAGAAAAGGCCCATAAAGAAATGAGATTATTCTATTTATTTTGCCCAACCTGGTAGATTAATGCATGTAGTAAGTACATAACATAACCAAGGAAGATTAGGTTTATAAAACTGTCAGATTAATATTAAGGTTGTTTGTAACAAATCTACCTTAATTGTATGATTTTAATGTGACAAGATCCTTTTTTAAAGCCTTCTAAACATAAGCATCTCTGTAACTATAAGATCACAGTACTGTTCTCACACGGGCCCACAAAACCACACACCCTTTACACCTCCATAAAAAGAGGAACACACAGGCCAACTAAATATTTTATCGTCAACCAATAAGCAAGGATCAAGATCCCAACTGAGCCATCCAGCCCATCTTTAAGACAAGATTTCCTAAATAGGATCCAGAGACACTGGGGGACTTTGGTACAAATTTTTATAAATGGGTATCAAAGTTTCTCTGTGCGATATGGATTCCAAGTGAATTTCCCCATACTCCTCCAGTTGGAGGACAGACAGACAGCAGCAGAGAATGGAAAACATTTTAGTTTTGTACAGAGAGTAAGATATTTCAAGATAAAAAGAGCATCTGATATAAGATAACACATAAAAAGGAAGATTTAAGTCAAGTAGAAGGTAAGTCAGTGGTTTGAAGTGGAGGAGGAGGAAACCAGGGAAGAGCTCCACAGAGAAGTAAAAGAGCCACCTCCACTTGTGGGAGTCCAGTGCAGAAAATCTAAAGGTATGAGTTAATCTACATGAGCAGCTCCAGACTTTTCTCTGGTGATGACTGTGCTTTGAATTAGATCTCATCACTGAGACAGAAAAAGCCTCGTCACCCAGAACTATGTAATCTTCGTAGAGCAGCGTGTGGGGTATCCAGAAATAAGCGTAGGGAATAAGTTTCTACATACAAGTTTTTAAAACTAACATTCTCACTATTTTAGTTCTGCTGTTTTACAACAACTGACTTCTAAACAATCCATACATATTCCTTTAATATTTAAACAAAGTAGGCAGAAAATGCAGAGAATTTTATTCTTCTCAATTTAATATAGGTAAGGTAAAAAAAAAGATCCTACATGAACAATGGTTTGATGTGTTATATTCTCAATTAGTGACTTCTGTGTTCAACTTGATAAGTTTAGAAAACTCCTGTTTTGATTAGTAACAACCAGAACTGTCAGCTTAGCCTCCTTTTGGAAAACAAACTGAGCAGTTCCAAAAATACTGTACCAGCAATTGTGGAATCAATGAGCTGTCAATTTTGTTGACAGTTTGCAAAACAGAATACAACCCAGATCAAACTGCTAGTCTGAGCATTGCAAAACTTGGTTTCATCAGTAGACATAATAGCACTGACCTGGAAGATAGGGGGAGCAAATAAATATGTGCTGACACCAGGGACTACTTAAGAAGAACCACTTGAGACAATAATCACATGCTATCTACTATGACATTCCTGTTATTGGGTGAGGTGATCCTAAAGAATGTAAAATTTTTTTTAGTGCAGTAGGCAAAAAGCAATGTAAAACAGATAATCCCCATCTCCTACTATATCTTTGATAGTCACATTTAATGTGACTGCTGCTTGGGGATTTTTTTTTTTTTTGCAGGGGGCGGGAGAGAACAGGGGAAAACATCCTCCTATAATTTATTTTGTGGGAGCTTAGTTTTCTATTGCATCCTGTCTCTGAGAAAAGTGGATTTTTCCACCTTTTCCAGGTGGTACTTTAGAAGAGACATCACTATTTTTCAGGCCTGTTTTCTGCTGTGATGAGACATTACTCAAATGTAACCCCCTTTCTTTGAAGTAACAAGGGAGAAAAAGCAAGAAAAAGGGGACAGTAACTAGAAAGCACCTCCACCTGCCTCAGGTTCGGAACGATGAGGCAGAGCACGGCATCAAGAGGGATGAAGCAGGGTCTCCCAAGGCAGCCTCATGCACTTACAGCAGAGTACGTGCCGGCGGGGAGTCAGGGAAGCAAATCCCAAAGGAAGCGGGGAGAGCGAGAGAAAGACACTCGCTCTACACGGCAGAGGGGACCCACCCCAGCAGGGAAAAGGTCATCCAGACCGCGGGTCTCCCCCAGGCCACTGCAGATGGGAAAGGGCCCCTCCCCCCATTCCCAGCGGCAGGCCCAGGCGAGAGGTCGGTCGGTCAGTCAGTCAACACACCCCCCCAGCAACGGCCGCCCGCCCCAGCGCCCGCAACGGTCATCGCCGCCAGCGATCACGGCCCAGGCCATCGCCCACCAGGAAAGCGGGGCACACGCCGCTCCCCATTCCCTTCCACAGGGCCAGCCCGACCCGGCGCCTCCCTCCTGTCCCCGGGGGTGCGTGTGCGGGGAGCCAGAGCAGCCGCATGTAACCCTAACCCTAATCCTACCCCTCCCGGCCCCGCCGCCCCTTACCTGGCCGCCAAGTGCCGCCTGTTATTGTGACTGCGAGGGGGAGGGATAACCCCGACAGACACTTCCGGCCACCCAGCGCTTCCGCTTCCGCCTGCGTCCGCTGCGCTTCCGGTCCCTGACCCCAGAACCAGGGAAAAGCAACCCTCTCTGCGGCCCTCCCGCGCCACCATCTTGGATGCGGCACCTCGTGCATATTTCCATTGCAGCCCAATCGCCGCCATCTTGGTTGTGGCCTCTCTGTCTTCAGACGAATGGCGTCTCTGTATGGGCGATGGGAGGGAGTAGCAGGAATCCCAGCACCACCCCAGACTGTTACTCCCCGATGGAGGCCAGGTTTACTGCCCCGCGGGAGCAGACTGAGCCACCCGCAAACCTATCCATCCCATGTACCATCCCTGCCAGGCTCAGCCCCCACTCTGTACAGGGCTGGGGGCCGGCCCGGAGCTGCAGTGCAGCTGCCCAGGGCCCAAGGCCAGCCGGGAGTGGGCAGCTGACCAGGTTGGAGCATGGCACAGATCTGATGTCTCACAATTGTGTTGTTACATCTGTACCCCAGTGTCTGAGCCCAGGCTGGCTGGGGAGAGGGAAAGAGAGAGAGAAAGGCCCAGATCCTCAAAAGCATCTAGGGGCTTACATACCTTTGAGGATTTGAGTCTAAGCCTGCTTGTGCATGATTTTCAGCTGTGCATTGTGAGAGTCCGGTGGATGTAGCGACACTATCACTAAGGTACAAAAAATGGACTATCCATTTTTTTTTGCATGGAATAACAACTGAGCCCATAAAACTGGACAGCTGGCAGCACGTGCACAGCACCCTTACAGATTTCAATCCACCCGTGCACAAGCCCTTTTCTGTTCATTTGCCACAAGCGTTCATCTGAGCAAGGTCTTATGCATATGACTATTCACAGAAAAGGAATTTTGGGCTCATAGAGATTCTTTTAATCAAGAAACAAAATTCAGTTTGTGACACAATACATTTGTTTGGAGGAGAAGCAGAGATAGTTCCAAAGTGTTTGCTTAACTAGTATGGGAACAGAAACAATAACATGTGACTTAAGTGACCATTCTCACAAGTTCAGTAGCAAATTTTGAATAATGAATAGCTAGAAGTATAACATTTCTTCACATAAACTATGTCTGAAAAAATTATAATGAAAACATTTGTAAAAATCATGATCAAGCATGCAACTTTGACTTGAAAAATAGTCATACATTATCTTCACAGCCACAAAGTCAGTGATTGTTATACGGCTAGTTGTCTGTGTCAAAGTGTATTGGTGGCATTCGTGTTTCTTCATTCAGGATATCTATTTTAATCAATCCATTTGGACTGATCCCAGTGGAAAATTGCTATTGACTCAAGATCTCCATCATGTGTGTTTCCTACAGATCTAAATAAATCCAACCTCAAAGACTATCCATTATTGAACATACTTTATTATCTGTGGTTTATTTATGTTATGAAGGCTGATATGTAAAATCAGTTGTTGATTTAATGATTCCCCCGCAAAAGCATATACTGCTTTGTGTTGAAAAATAAAATAAGAAAAAAAACTTTTTAGTTTACTTTATTGAACAAACATAAGGAGACACGGGGAAGCCACTAGGAGCCCCTGGTGCACAGGATGATTTGAGACTCTTTGCTCAGAGTTCTTACAACACCTCCTATTTGTGCTTTACACCAATTCATCCACTATTCATCCTACAGGGGGAGAAGAGACAGTTATAAAACAGACAAAATGAACTCAGTGCCTTAGTCCAGAGCAGTAAAATGTTCCAAATAGTCCTCTATTCCACACATCAAACAAAGGAAACTGACACTGAATTAATCAATAAAAGCCCTGGATTTACCATTGTGCTAACATTCTCCTTTGCGCTTTATGCCAATGGGGACTCCAGTTTCACTGGAAAAGAGAAAGAAAGATTAGCCATTATGAGTAAGTACATGGTAGTCACCCTCAAGAGTAAAAACTGTTATAAGGATGCTGTTAAATTAGTTAGATTAACATAAATGATACATTTCAGAGTAACAGCCGTGTTAGTCTGTATTCGCAAAAAGAAAAGGAGTACTTGTGGCACCTTAGAGACTAACCAATTTATTTGAGCATGAGCTTTCGTGAGCTACAGCTCACTTCATCATCTGATGAAAGCTCATGCTCAAATAAATTGGTTAGTCTCTAAGGTGCCAAAAGTACTCCTTTTCTTTTTTATAAATGATACAGTTTGAGATAATAGAGTGGGCCAGCCCTGTTCGTGTATATTTTTTATGATATGTTTTACCATTTGTTCCAATATGCACCTGTCTCTTCCTTAGTCAGCCATATCCACAGGCTGCCCACTTGGGTGCTGGTATTTGTAGTCTGACTCTTCAGTAAGAAACCAAGTCAGAATCTATAAAAATGCATTCCACACCCACGTTGTTGGGAGTTACACATTCATAATGACTGAAGAATATACTGTGCTCCCAAGAATGATAACCTGGGAGCAATGGAAAAGAGTCTTGAGAAGCTCATGTAACTGCTGGTGTTTAAGTGTATAGAATGGCACTCATAGGTTTGCTTCACTATTTCTCTTGCTCATACCAGTTGTAAAGTCAGCTGGGCTGCAAGGAATGGGCAAGATTTGTCCTCCTGGCTATTAGGCACTACTCTCAGGGCTGCTAAGAACACAACTAAAGTTGCCCGTTCCTCCAAGTCCCATTTTCACTGCTCCTTGTGCTGGCTTCCTCAACCCTACTGTGCCTCTCAATGCAGCCCAATAAGGCAGGCAGCGAGGAGAAGACATCCAGTACTGGCAGCTTTACACTCCCTTACCCACCTGTCTGCTGGCCCTGAGCGGCAGGAACAGCAACAACAGCACATTCCATGCCCAGGAGGGAGATGTTCTGGGACAATGTGCATACGTGGGCAGGAGAGACAGGGCATGATGAGAGGAATGTATGTGGGAGAGACAGGATCTGCGCTGGAGAAATGATGCCATTACTGGACATGACAGTGAACTGTAAAAGCCCATACGGAACAAGGGGCAAGGTCCTCAGCTGTTACAAATCAGCATAGACATCAGTGGAGCAATGCTAGTTTCCCAATGGGAAGATTTGATCCACTAAGAAGTACACGTCTGAGCTTTGTCCCCAGGAATGACATTAGTTCCTGGGACAGGGGGCAGTGTAGAACAATAAATATGATAGCAGGAAGTTAAGCCTGATGTACTTAATCTGTTTGGAGAAAAGAAAATTCAGAGATGACAAAACAGAGGATTTCAAAAGGGGAAGAGTACGATCAGTAGAAATAAAGTTGGGAAGGAGTATCTTACTTTAAGGTGAATAAACAACAAAATATATTACTGGGCAAGCAGTTTGAAGCAGAGAGTATTAAAAGAATACAGGAAACACACGTGCTGTTTTTCTGGCAAAGGCACAGTCATTATACATTTTCATTTTCTATCACGTAGGTTATCAAGCATGCAGTGCTTATTGGCCAGGTTTAAATTAGCCAGGTGGTCCCTTCTCTTACTCTGACTCCTGCCACATTCAGGGATTTGTAGTTTGGGGAATTTATGAACATCTTAACTAGAGCCTAAAGCAGATCAAGAAGACACTGGGACCCAGATCCACAAAGGTACTTAGGTGCTTAAACGCCAGACTTAGGCACTGAACTATGGGATTTAGGTGCTTAAGTCCCAGTTTTAGGCTCCACTGCGATCCACAAAATTCCCACCAAACCTTGCAGGCACCTAAACTCACTTGGTACCTACATTCTGAGGGAGAAATATCCCTAGGTGCTTAAGTTTCTGTCTCTGAGCATGCATACTGCTTCCTAAACCCACCTAAGCCCCGGAGTGATTCACTAACTGGGAAAGACAGCCTTTCACCTGCCTATCTCATGTGTGGGGCCCAATCCAATAGGCATGTTCAGAGGCTACCTTCAGGTCTGGGTCCCATTCAAAATCTGGAGGGGTGGTAATGGTCCCCAATTTATAACTTTTAGCCCTTTGGTTAGAGCATTCACCTGGGATGTAGGAGACCCATGTTCAAATCCCTCCTCTGCCTGAGGCAGAAGAAAGGATTTCAACTAGGGTCTCCCACGCTTCTCAAGAGGTGCTCTAACTTCAGAGATGTGGGATATTCTGATGAGGGCTCCCTCAGTCTCCCCCGATGAAGCTGTTCCACCGTGGGTAAAAGATTAAAGAGTCATTGGAGCAGGGGGACTGAACCCTAGGTCTCCCAGCTACGTACCCTAACTACCAGGCTATAGGTTCATTCTCTTGCTCACTCTGTCCCAATGACTCTGACTATTTAAGTATTCATAAAAGTCCCTTTGGGGATCTGGGCCTGGGAATATTGGAAGGTAAGCGGAAGAGGACACTCGGGTATTAAACACAATCAAAACAAACGGCTGTCCATCCTGATCTGTGCATTACAAAAAATATCAATATTAAATAATAATCAAGAGATAAGAAACCTAGGGGAATTGATGTTTCCCTCTATGAAGAAAATACTTAAATAGAAAAGCTGTTATTAGTAGCTCCCACCAGTGATTTCACTTCATCAAAGAAACGATAAAAGTACTTACAAGATTTTTTCACACAGCAAACATTCATTGCTGTGAGTGATGCCGTCTGTTCCACAGACTGGTGCATAGTTCCTTAGACAGCCTCCTCTCCAGGTTCCATCTCGATTTTTGTATTTCCTGCAGTCAGGCTGCAAAATTAATAAGGTGACATTTGAGTGGACATTTTGCACTCTTCACTAGATCTTTTGAGAAGAGAAAGCACACACAGGGGCTATGTTTTTCACTGTTTCCTAAATCTAGAATGGGGTGAGGAAAAAGTAGTTCATTTTGCTGGAAGAAAAGGAAAATACTGCAGATATTTCGCAGGAGAAGGTCTATTTTGTTTTTTTCACAGTTACAAGTCACTGCCATAATGAGACTAATAACGATAAACCAGAAGACAAAGGCTCAGAGCTAAAAATCTAAGAAGAACCTCAATATTTGCCAGTTTCAAGTCAGTTAAGTAAATAATTGTAATTTACATATATGATATAGAAAGAAATCTCTCTCGCTGTGGCAACAGACATATTTTAAAATATTTCCCCAGTTGTTTCTCTGTATCTCACACATTCTAACCAGTGGTTGTGTCATTTAAAATAGTGTATAAAAGTAATCAGTCTGATTGTGTGGAGACCATCTATCTGAATCGCAGGTATACCCTCTAATTTTAATAGAGCAATGGGATAGTTCTCATTTTTGATGCAACCAGCTTTTCCCATAGTTTTAGGAGAGAAGAGTTTCCCCAACACAGAGAATTTGGCCAAAATATTGTTTGTAGACAGAGATCCTAGGAAATTTACTGTTAATAAACACAAAGAACTGTACTTACCTGACGCCCACCTTGAGCAGTGACTCCTGAAAAAACAACAGACAAATATGAATACTGCCAATGATCTGAGATGGTCTATAGATGTCTGTTTGTATTAAATATGGACTTTACAAAAGGAAATATTTAAAATGGACCCTTGAAAGTTAGCAGAATGTGTCCTAGAATTTATTATAAAACATTTAAATGATCCCAAAGAGCAGGTGTGTAAATTTTAAAAAATAATTTCCATCATTTAAGTGTCTAACAGAGGTATCTTATTTCTGCTTTAGTTGCAAATTTCAATGCACCCTTAACTACGGAGCTGTAAGGATGCTTACAGGATAGGAAAGAAAGAATAAGACAAAATCTTTGAAGGAGATTAAATGCAATAGTCTGTGTGTAGAAAAATAGAATGCACTTTCTAACTCAGCAAACATCACCTAATATTACTGGCATTTATGGGTTGTGTATTAACTTTATTAATTAATAAGCATTTTTTATTATTTCACATCACTGATTGTTTTAGGAGTTATGCTCTGCTAAGGAGAAGCATAGCAAAACTAAAACACCTAACAGAATGAAACTAAAAGACCTTTAAAACATGGCAAAAACTAGCTTAGCCCAGCTGAATGCAAATTGTTGATTTCTGTGTCTAAATTATTTAAATCTATGTAATTTCCTGTCATCACATTTTCATCCCATACAATTCCCAGAAGCTTTACAAACAATATCTAGTGCTGAAGTGCAGCCACCTATAGGGTGGAGAGCAATAGTCAACATCCCAGTGCACAACAAAGGGGAGGGAAAATTTTGGCCAAGACCACTGGGCACCAACTCCGAATGTGAGGAAAAGTGCCCCACCTCACATACACGACAGGGCTTTCGGCCAAAAGTTTCAAACTTACTGGCCTAATTTTCAGAGGTGCTGACCATCTGTAACTCCCACTGACTTCAATGAGATCTGGTCAGCACCTCTGAAAATCAGACCACTTATTTAGGGTTATGCTCAGTACCTGCAGCTCCCATTGACTTCAGTTGGAGTTTAGGGTGCACAGCACCTCTGAAAACCAAGCTCGAAGGGCCATATTTTTAAAGGTATTTAGACACCTAAAGATGCAGATAGGTATCCAGTGAGATTTTCAAAAGCACCTATCTGCATCTTTAGGGACCTAAAAACCTTTATAAATCTGGCACTGAGTGCCTAACTTTTGACACCCAATTTTCAAAATGTTTACCTTCATCTTCTCTTTAAGAAAATAAGTGAAAGCAACATTATTATTTAATAGTCAAGATTTCTGATGCCAGAGGTGTCTGCCATAGGGTTTAATACATGACACAGAGTAGAGAGAGTTACTCACCTAAAATGAAGCAGCAAAATGCCAGGAAAAAGAACACAAAGGCACCTTTTAGCTTCATGGTGAAGACAGGTGTCTGGTCTGTGCTGATTCTGTTAGTACTTTGCTGGGTAGGTATCCTTGCAATTAACCCCCGACTGTGTTCGCAGATATATATAGTTCTGTATATCTATAGAAGTAATCAGATTCGGGACCTGGATTAGCAAATCATCTGCAAAGGATATTACTGACACAGGAATTTCTCTGCAGGCAGTTGCAGGCAGGTAGGAATGTTCATTTCAAAACATAATTTGCAGAAAATATGAGGAAAGTTTGCGTCACATGGTGACCCTGCCTCAGATCAGCAGCAGAGATTTACACTCAATTATCTCCAGTTTACTGCCATAAAACTGGACCATTCTGCTACCGTTCACATTTTTAATAGTGATTCCTTAGCTTGGGCTGGTGAAATACAGTAGCCAGTCTATGTAGATTATGATTAGGTCCTACATCAAAACATGACACTCAGCAGTATCGGTTTATATTAAAGACCTCTGTTTCTAAAGGACATTTTCAAAATGAATCACATTATGAGTGGGTCATGGCTTGTGAAACACTTATTTGGTGTGACCAGTATTTGGACAGTAGGTGAAAATATGTTCAGTATTAACTGGCTGCCATGGGGATTTGTGGACTCAATGAATGTCACTTGTCCCATTGTCCTTTGTACAGAACTCTAGAGTCCATGTGAGGCATTCACATTATATAGGGATAAGGGGGAAGCAAGCAATCGCTAATGGGGTAAGATCTCTCAGAAACCTATGGAAATGGATCAAGAGAATGAATTCAGAGAGAGCGCCTGGGTAGTACTGATACCTCAGGAACTCCCTGAAAGCCTAAGATTATACATGTGCCCCTAGTCAGTGGTGAGCTGGAGCTGGTTCTCACTGGTTCTCTAGAACCGGTTGTTAAATTTAGAAGCCGTTTTAGAACTGGTTGTTCCGCGAGGGACAACCGGTTCTAAAAGGGCTTCTAAATTTAACCGGCCCAAAAGTGGCGCCTTAGGCGCCGACACCATGGCTGCTCCAGGGCTGGAGCACCCAAGGGGAAAATTTGGTGGGTGCAGAGCACCCACCGGCAGCTCCCCGCCCCGTCCCTAGCTCACCTCACCTCCGCCCTGCCTTCGCCTCCTCCCCTGAACGCGCTGCCCCACTCTGCTTCTCCGCCCCCCCCCCAGACTTCCTGCGAATCAGCTGTTCCTGCAGGAAGCTGGGACAGGCTGAGAAGCAGGCAGCAGCTTCGCACTCAGGCCCAGGGAGGCAGAGGTGAGCTGGGGCGGGGGGCGCGAGGAGGGCCGCCCGCATTTCAGCAGGTAACCTGGGGTGGGGGCGCAGGGGAACCACTCCCCACCCCAGCTCACCTCTGCCACCCTCGGCCTGAGTGTGAAGCCGCCGCCATCTGCTTCTCAGCCCTCCCAGGCTTCCCGCTGAACAGCTGATTCGCGGGAAGCCCGGGGAGGAGGTGGAGGTGAGGTGAGCTGGGGCCGGGACGGGGTGGGGAGCTGCCGGTGGGTGCTCTGCACCCACCAAATTTTCCCCGTGGGTGCTCTCGCCGCGGAGCACCCAGGGAGTCCGCGCCTAAGGCGCCATTTTTGATGTGATCAGCGGGGGGAGCGGCCACTCCCCCTGCTCCCCCCCTAGCTATGCTCCCCCGCCCCTAGAAGCCAGAGGGACCTGCCAGATGTTTCCTGGGAGCTGCCCCAGGTAAGCACCACCGGGACTCCCCACCTTGCCCCCCGGCAGGTCCCTCTGGCTCTTACGGGTGGGGTGGCACCCACTACGGTGGCTCACGAGACCCTTCTGCCCAGTTCTGGGGGCAGTCAGGGGTGGATGGGGCAGGGATCCTGGGGGGGTGGGGGGGTGCGTCAAGGAACGCAGGGGGTTGGATAGGGCAGAAGTCCTGGGGTCGGGGGTGGGCAACGACTCCCTCATGGGGTGAGGCGGGAACCAGTTGTTAAGGTTTTGGCAGCTCATCACTGCCCCTAGTATAGTCATTACTGTGCATCTTGTATAAAGTTAAGGAAGTGTGCTGTAGAGCTCTAATCCTGCGAGATGCTGAACAGCCTCAACTCCAGTTGATGTCAGGATCTGGCCCTAAGTATAATGGGGAAAACACATTGTGCAGGTAAAAAAATCAGTTGTGAACATTTCTCCCTTATTAGGGTATAAACTAGATGAGTGGCCCGTGAGCTCCAGATAGAAACAACATACTCAGAGAATCAAAAAAATCACCCTCCTGAGGGCTGATTTATAAATAAAAGGGCAACTGCAAATCAATACCATAAGCACTCCCAGCCTAAACCCACTCCTCCGGTTTAGCAGCTTCTGGGATTCTTTCTGTCTTCTCTGTGTTCCACCCATGCCCACTTGGACTCTGTTAGAAGCCTTCTACTTTATATTAAAAGTGGTGTCTAACAAGCCACACCTGAACCAATGAATCAGCAGTAATTAATCTGCAATTCCTGGCTGTGCTCCAAAACCTTCTAAAAAAGTAGGGCAGTGCAAGAGTCATGGCATACAAGGTGTTCTCCAAAACTCACAGATGGTAGCCCCACCAGGTTTTAATTTTCTGTTCACATATTTCACTGCTCTGAAAGCCTTCTCTGTCTTTCAAGAAAGTCTAAGGCAAAACCAAAGTAAAATAATTAGTTGTATTTTTTAAAGGTTTGCAGCTCTCCCTCTTACACACTGGAAGGTTTTAATGATTATTTTCTCCAAATTTTCCTAAAATCCTCAGGGCTAGCCTAGCACTGTGAGATTCTATAAATAGATATTTCTTATTCCTGTTTACAAACATCAGTTTTTTCTTCCCTACAAGAATTTTACAAACAACTTGAGTATTTATTGTACTTTAAATACCAGTTAAATTAGGTAGCACACAATACAAAATAATCTATTGGAAAGTTTAAAAATCTACAGCCATATTTTGAAAAGTAGTCACTGATTTTGGGTAGTGCCTCATGTTTTGGGTACTCAATTTGAGTCACATTGGGCCTAGTCAATGGGAACTGTCGGTGCTCCTCACCCCTGGAGATAAGACCCAATGTCTCAGGTTTGGGCACCCAAAAATGAGGGAGCCTAAATCACTGTCCACTTTTGAAAACTGTGACCTGGCGAGGTTGGGAGCTCTGCAAATGTTGCATGTATAATGTGATGTTCCTGTGTGGGTTATCAGCAGTGGGATTTGAACTGGGATTGCTGGATTTAAAAAGCATAGGCTGGTTTTTCCGGCACTAAAGAGCTCACCACTCTTGGCAACAAATGTAGCAGGTTCCTCAACCTCTATGTGTGGACCAGCCACCACTAGAGAAGCAGGGCTTAATTTGTAATGAAGGAGGTGCTGGGGCGCAAGCAATTAGGTGCCAGGGCTCAAGTAATTTTTTTACTTTCATAACTAACGTGGCAAGCCCAGAGATAACGGGGCTTTGAACTGCCAAGCCTAGAGGTGCCAGGGCTCAGCTCTGGCACAAATTAGGCACTGTAGAGAAGGCCAAAACACCAGACTTAATGGTGTGGAGTAGGAAAGCCTGTGGCTATGTATTTACTCAGGCTAACCACAGGTTGAGCAACTGCAAGTTAGTCTATGCACAGTAGCCTCACTCACTAGAGCGCAACCACATTGTCTGCATCTGCATGCTATGGGCATGCCCCACGTCAGCACTAGAGCTCTGTCTGGTTGTGAGAAATAATACAGGTACATAGGAGCATATCCAATACGTCACTGGGCACTAATTCACTGTGTCACTCTATGCTTGCTTTCACAGGGTGCTGTGAGACAAATTAGCTACCCACTCTGAGGATTGCGGGTGGAAATGGTCTAGGCCTGGGAAATAAATTTCCTTGTGGGACCTGAAGTGGTGTGATAGGGCTGAAGATATGGATTCTGCTTGGGAGCAACAGCTGCCAATTCTTCTGGAATGTGCAGTGTTTCTTTGGTGGGCCTCTGCAGAAGGTGCTGTCGAGAGATGGTAGTAAGCCTTTCAGAAGTGGCTGTTAGCCTGGAGAAGACAGAGGCAGTAACTTGCAGTAACACGTGGAAGTACAACAACAGATTGGGACCATGGAGACTTGGGCTGAACCGATGCTGTATTTCAGGGTAGATTCTCCCCAGCCATGCAGGCCACTGCTTCTAGACCATGACTGCAAGTGCAGAGTGGTGCACTACATTGTGCTAGAAACATGGGATAACCGGTAGGAGCCCAGGATTTTCCCATGTGTGAGGAGTTTGCCCTGGCCCTGGAGTGGCAGGACACCCAGATGAAAGAGTCACTAATGGTCCAGAAGCATGTTGTTATTGCCTTGTGGAAGTTGGCAACTCCAGGCTGTTAACAGAACTGTTGGCAATCAGTTCGGGCTTTGCAAATCCATGGCTGGTTCAGTAGTCTTGGAAGTTCATGCGGCAATTAATGCTGTGCTCGAGGCCAGGTTTACAGAATTTGGAAATATCCCTGAAATAATTGTGGTGTTTGCATGGATGGGTTCTTGAGCTGTGCAGGTGTGATTGGCAGCATGCCTATATACACATCCTCTGAATGCCATTTGAAGCAAGTGAGTATCTTCACACGAAAGGGTATGATACCATCATCACACAAGCTCTTGTGGACACTGTGGCACATTCATGGACCCCTACACAAGATGCGCTGGCAAGGTGCTCTAGATGTCTGGCCTCTTTCCACCTGGGTGAGCTAGTCCATTGTTCTCCTTAATGACACATTGAGAAAGTGCAGGATGGTGGAATGTACCTTTGGCTTACTGAAAGCAAAATAGTGCTGCATACAGACTCATTTAGACTGTAGTATGTTTAATTCCCTACATGTGATTACTGAGGGACAATTTCCACTCATTGATATATTTTGCTTTCCACAACCAAATCTCTGTACAATTTTTCATGAGTGACGTACCTGAGTATTCGGATTCTAATACCTAAACCGTATTGTTAAATTTATTCTCCTAAATTTGGGTTATTGCTGATTATGTACTCTATGTATCACATGACTTCTAAAAACAAACTTTGTATTTGTGG